TCCGTAGGAAACTGTACAGGAATGCATTTCTTGAATCATTCTTTATTTAGTTTTATACAATAGTGGTGGAATAAATTGAACGCGTAATGTCACTAACTTTTACAATACCATTGTTATTTTGATAGATAGATACTCATTATTGTTTCTTTCCCATGCGGTCTCGGCTTAGAATAGGCCACCCCTTCCTTTCCCGTGGGTGTCGTAAGAGGCCAGTAAGGGAGGCTGAGGGATGGGCAGCAGCGTCCCTCTTAAAACAATTCCAAAGCCTAACTGCGGTTACAAATCCACCTGCCAAGCGTGGCAACTACTGGAAAAACCCACCTAGGGGGAGGCTTATATTCAGCAGTGGACAGTTATAGGCTGATATGACGGAACGATGCTTTATATTATTCTCAATTTCGTGTATAATATAGTACATGTTATATACGAGTATGTGTAAGTATATTTGTTATTTATATATATATCTATTCGTTTATATATGTAATTTTAGTATGTATGTATATCAATAATTAGAAGTACCGCATTCGAGTATTCTGACACTTCCCTATGGTTGACTGGGAGAGAATGCTTTTAGCATTAAGTCCACCATGTACACATATTTGTACTAATGAATAAATAAATAAACGATGACTGTCTCTTTCAAGGATTACAGTAGTAAATTTACTATAGATTTATTTGATTACATATTCCTAATTTTAAATTATATTATTTGTATTTAAGTAAATACTTATTTTGTTAATAATTTTTATGATTTTCATTTCGTCAGTTTAAACTATAATATATTACTGTAGAAATTCGATATTTAAATAAAAGTTACAAATAAACATGTAGTGAAATTGTAACAAAAATAAATAGTAAATACTCAATATTATTTGAAACTAAACTGTTATTTTGATGGACGAATTTCATCTTAATTCACCAGTCGACAAATGTTAGCTTAGCTTGTTAAATCAACTTCACAAACTTGTTACCGATATATCCAAAGTTGATACATTTATTGAGAATTTCATTTGTGTAAAGTCTGAAATATTCAAATTCATAAATCGAAAGTGTTATAATGATTGTGTAGTATTTATGCATCCATCCATTATGGCCGTGTGGTCCCGGCATAGAATAGGCCACCCCTTCCTTTCCCGGGTGTCATAAGAGGCGACTAAGGGAAGGCGAGGGATCGGCAGCAGTTTCCCTCTTAAAACATCTTTAAAGACTAACTTCGATTGCTAATACTCCTGGCAAGCGTCGCAACTAACGGCAAAACCCACCAAGGTTATTTTTTTTAAGACTGATAATGGAATGGTAATCTGGCCTACGCTAACGGTATACACTGGCGGGATACCAATGAGGCGTGATAGGTGAGAATGGAAAAGCAGGTAAGTTAGCCCATCATGATGAATAGATCTGAAATTCAGCACGATGGTTTCCAAGAGGAACCGCGTGGAGATCGACCTGACAGGGTATATTGCTAGCAATGGAACTGGTAACTAGTATTACTAACAATCCTTTCCCCTCTGCAGTGGACAGTTAAAGGTTTTGTTTTATACGACATAGAATAGCAAACAAGCTGACCGCCCACCTGATGGAAACCGGTAACCGTCGCCTATAGACATGAGCAGTACCATGGACATAACAGAGTATACTGTTTCACCCATGATACCCCCCATGCGTTGTCATACCTGACGACTCAGGTGTTATTCCTCTGTACCCTGTAAATTAACGCTATACCCCATCCTTCAAACCGAAACACAGCCATGCAAACACAACTGCTTCACGGTAGAAACACGAATGGGACAGAGGTATCCAAGCAATAGATTTTCGTAAAAAGTCTCCTCTGGATGCGTATTCTCCTCAAGCGTATCGTTGATGAATAAATTACAATACCGCGTCTGATAGTGTGGTGTTCATAGGCTACGGTAACCATTTACCATCAGGTGGGCCATATGCTTGTGTGCCACCTCAGCGGTATTAAAAAAAATTCGGTTAACATAGAGATTTTTTTAAGGAAAATTTTAAATAAGGAAAAAATGCTAAAAACTTTTCAAGCCTCTGAATATATATTAATGGAGGGATACTTACGTATAACGGTTCTATCGCCATTATAGAATACTAAATATTATTTCTCCTCTCAATTTGATCTCTAAATCATCCAAATTAAAAAAAAACAGCTTTTAATTTTCAATACAAAAGTCATAATTTTTTTATGGGAAAAAACTTTATATCTCATAATATTGACGGAAAAAAAATACAATAAACTATTCAAGAAGGAACAAGAAGCAGTGGCGTCGAACAAAATTGCTGGCGATAAATAATGAACGCTATCAATTCACACCAGGCCCGCTGTAATGAAAGTCGCGATTTGTTGTCCCTATAAACAAAATCCTCCTTTATACAGGGTGATTGCACAGATTTTACTAGCCTGTTACTCCTTCGGGGAGATCTCTTTTACGGGTGAAACATCTTTGTACGTATCTCGATCATGTTAGGTACATGTCTTGAAATCGGCATATAGTATTAAACTCACATCACGGTTGTTTACGAATTTTTTTAAATAATAATAATAATGATAAATTTAATATGTACTATGTATAATTATTTATTATATATATAATTATAATTAAGTATAATTATATATGTATAAGTGTTGTATATGATTTATGTATGTATATTTTATGTAAATGTTTGTATATTTATTTATCTTAAATTGTTGTAATATCTCAAAATAAATAGATAGATAGATACTATTTATAAATATAAACAAATACAAGAAATAATAATAATAATAATAATAAACTCTTTATTGCGCACAGTAGAGATGTATACAAGGAGTATTTATACAGAATGTGCATATACAAAAGGCGGCCTTATCGCTAAAAGCAATCTCTTACAGACAACCTGGCATAAAGAATGAGAAAACAAAATATTAATTTAATTTTTTTTTTTTAATATATGCACCGCCATTTACTCTCTATTTAGCATAACTGTTGACTGGTAGAGAATGCCATCAGGCATTAAGTCTATCCTGTAGACATTTTAATATGTATAAAAGTATAAATAAATAATGATGACGATAATGAATCCTGACCGTTTTCGCTTACGTTGACCGCTTTGACTTCGCTATTATTAATTAATTGTCTATATAGTAGAAGTTTGCCGTGTAATTCCAGCATAGAACTGGCTACCCCATCCATTCTCGTCAGTGTCGAAATAGCGACTAAGGGAGAGCGAGGGATGGGCAGCAAAACCCGATTTAAAACATCTCCAAACCCTAACTGCTGTTGCCAACTCGCCTGCCAAGCACGACAACTAAGGCTTATGTTCAGCAGTGGACAGCTAAGGGTCTTATGACGATTATGATAGCATGGATGGGTAATATAATATATAGAAATATCTAATGAAATATATAATTTCAAAATTATTCCTATATATAGTTATAATTATATTATATTACTAGACTTTTAATATATTAAAATTTTTAATATTTTAAATTATACTCTGAACTATTTACATTATTTTTATTATACACACACCGCACAGACAATCACCAAAAATATTGCTCTTTTTATTTTATATTTATTTCAATTATTATTTTCACGTACCCTCAAATGGGTTAAAGCTGAAAATCAGTGTTTTGTTCCTTGAACAATGTTACACGCTGAGCTTCCACCTTTTTGTATTGCTGCAGATCACACATAATAACACAATTTTATAAATCTTATGTTGTTTTATGTATTATCTATTCTTATGTACGTGTTGTGTGTGATTAGTAATAAACAAATAAACGATATATCTATCTATCTATCTATCTATATTTGAAAATAGATATTGGATCGGTATTCACATTATCCATGCCCACTATATAAGAAGCCATTAGATTTGTGAATTTACTGGGTACAGAGGAATAACACCCGAGTCCTCAGGAATGGCAACGCATAGGGGGTATTATGGGCGAAACAGTATACTCTGTTATGTCCATGGTACTGCTCATGTCTATAGGCGACGGTTGCCACTTTCCATCAGGTGGACCGTTAGCTTGTTTACCATTCTAAGTTGTAAAAAAAAGATTATCCGTTGTTGGTGTTGATGTGTTCGAATGTGGCTTCCATAGCCAATCTTTTTAGTAAAGATTCTTACACAGTCCTTGCAATTATAATATGGCCTGCCATCACCTAGGTCTAGTTACTATTAATTCCATTTTATGAAATATCAAAAACGGAACACACATAGATTCAAACACCATAAATATCCAATATAAAGATGTATAAACTCAGTAAACGTTTTAAAGCGAATTACAATTTTTTTACCGTCGATTTGGAATTGGTATTTAAAATTTCGATCGATAAATTATTGCAAGTGAAAGAGAACTGTGACCGATTTATTCTATGTTGTTATCATATTGATTTTGTGATAATTTCAACTGAAAGTTTTAAATTTAAAAGTTTTACAATAGATTATATGTATGAAACATCGTATCATTTGTATGTACATATACATATATTCACCACTGAAATTGATTCTTTTTTTGCGAATTAAATAGACTTGTAATAATGTCCAATTTCCGTATTAAGAATTTTAAAATAAATACGATTTAGCAGAATTTTCTTATTATTTCGTAAATACTAATAAAGTAATATTTCTTTGTAAGCATGATTAATATCTTCTTAGACATTTCATGGTTGAAGTAAATTTATTTTGTGGAATTCATCTGATAAATGTACCAACCATTTACGTAAAAATGTGATTTGTTCTTGTTTCAGATTTTGCGTTTGTCTTACAATCTTACAATATTATACTATTATTTTTATTAGCTAAATAAGATATTATTTATGTATTCAGACAAATTATCAAATTGGCTTGATTTTTAAGCAATAGTTTTTTTTAGGTATAAATATAAATTTTACATACAACTTCCATTCTACTTACTATACAAGTAATTTTGATATAACATAATAAAATGGAAATATTATTGATATTTAACAGCTAATATTGAATTTTCTTTGTTACAGAAAGTATCGACAAATCTGGAGAAGATCCTATAGTTTCCGCTTTAAGACCATACGGAGCACCAGACGATGACGATGATGGGTCATCCAAAAATAACGATGCATTTCAAAAATTCTTTGGAAATTTTACTACTAATGTAAAAAATGATCACCAAATTGATGATGTCACAACAGACGATGTATCACTCTTAGACCATCTAATCAATTTGGGGCATAGTTATGAAAACAACGAAACAAAAATATCCGTTGACGATATACTGAATACAGATCAAATAAGAGATCTATCAAATGATACAGCAGAACCAGAAAATGTTACTGTAACGAAACCAAATGTACACGAAGATGTTGTTACAAAATTTCTTAGGTTGATAGAAACGCAACATTTGCTAGGCGAAAATTGTACAGCCGGTACACATTTGAATCTTGGCGAAGGTGTTGTAGATAGATATGCTCAAGAAAGATTTAGAATAGAAGCTGATATAGCAGTGAATCGTGCAAATATGTTGACAAGACTATGGAAGTACGCTGGGGCTTCAGTAATGCACAATGAATATTTGTTACATGCGAGTGTGTTGTCTATGGTAGAATTTGATGATGATATATTTGCCGCCGGCAATTGTTATGACCAATTTCAGTATAAAGATTATCAGTTATTTTGTCCCTTCGCGTATCGGTTACCAGAGGGACCAATATTAGCAAAGGATCTGGCGGTTGAATATAAATATTTGAGTAACACTTCAGAATGGTTTTACATAGCCCGGAAGAACGCCGAGCGCGTGATTCAAATTCATAATCAATTTAAAAGACGTAAGTACTTAGTATTTATTTAAATTATTAATAGTTTTTATTTACAGTGAAAATTTTATATTTTTTTTTTACAACTTAGAATGGCAAATAAGCTGACGGCCCACCTGATGGAAAGTGGTAACCGTCGCCTATAGACATTAGCAGTACCATGGACATAACAGAGTATACTGTTTCGCCCATGATACCCCACATGCGTTGCCATTCCTGAGGATTTAGGTGTTGTTCCTCTGTACCCTGTAAATAAAATAAGTTGCCACTCATTTTTATTCCCAGTATTTTATAAAAGGCGACTAATAAAATAATTTTAAATAAATTGGTGTGAAAAAAGGAAAACTCAAAATAAAAATTATATCTAATCTTTACACACTGACTTAGTAGGTTATATCCTAATTTAGCACATAGGATACTTTACGTACCGATTCACGAGAGCAAAACCGCGGGATACAACTAGTAGCTTTATATAGGTTTATACTCAAATAAATTAAAAAGTTAGTTCATTTGATTTCACCAATCATCAGATCATATTGAATAAATTAAAAAGTTAGTTCATTTGATTTCACCAATCATCAGATCATATTGAATAGATATTTTCATTTTTGATAAACTTTCAGAAGGAAAAACTTAATTTAATCATCAATTAGTTTCTACTTTTTCGCATGAAAGTTACGTGTAAATCAGTACTGATTGACGGACGCACCCATATTGATTTCATATTATTTTTTGAGAAACAAAGTTTTTTTTGGTACAAAATATTGTTCGTTATGCAACAAAATTTAATAGTAGATACAATTCTGTGTTCTAAATTCAAATATTTTAATGTGTCTAAGAAATATCACCTTTTACCAGTGAATTGATTCATCATTATCAAATCAGTCACTGTTCACTGCTGAATTTAGGCCTATCTATAACGCCCTCTATTGGACGGTTTTGTCAGTACTTGTCTCGTTTGCAGGTAGGTTGGCAACCGCAGTTAACCTTTAATGATGTTTTAAGATTGACGCTGCTGCCCATCTTTCGGCCGTTAAGTTCCCTTAGTCGCCTCTTACGACACCCACGGACAAGGAAATGACAGCATCATCCATTTTAGCATAATGATTAATGAAATTACTAATCAGTATTCATTTTGTCAAGACAGAAGATACTGCATTTTGCAAAGTAAAAAACTTGTAGATATTAAAGTTTCAGTACCGGTCCTACTAAGTTCTTTTAGTTTAGTAAAGTTAGCTCGTGACAGAAAAGTTAAGAAGTTACCGTCTATACTGGTAATGGGCACGTGATGCGCGGGAATGAGGAGCATATTTTAAAGAAGGTATTAAGAATGAATGTGAATGACTATAAGGGCAAAGGAAGACCTAAAAAGACATGGATGGACTGTGTGAAAGATGATATGGCCAGAATGGGAGTGAATGCAGAAATAACTGGGAATAGAGAAGAATGGAAGAGGAAAACATATTACGCCGACCCCAAATAATAATTGGAATAAGGGTAGAAAGATGATGATGATGAAGATTAGCTCATTACATTCTTACTAATATTGTAAATGTGAAAGTGAGTTTATTTGTTTGTTACTGTTTGGTGCCTTAACAACTTAACCAATCATTATGCACTAGTTTATTTAATATTAAATGTTATATACATGATCTGTATGGGATTAATAAGGAAGATGCTCCCGACACGAAGACTACGTAACTGGTAAAAGCTAGTTTGTAAGCCATTTTGTGTAGCACGCGATTTGCAGTTTAATACATAGTTGCAATACAGTATAATCGCCGTATAGGTCCCGGCTTAGAATAAGCCACTTCTTTCTTTCCCGTAAGTGTCGTAAGAGGCGACTAAGAGAACTTATGATGGAGGGATGGACAACAGCTTCTTTTTAAAACACCACCAATAACCAAACTGTGATTGCCAATTCCCCTGTCAAACGTGGTGTTTACTTGCAAAACTTCCTTTATGGGGAAGGATACGTTCAGCAGTGGACAGTTAATAGCATAGTTGCAATATGCATAATTAATAGCAACAATAAGGACATAGTTGCAATACGCGTGCCTCTTAGGCATTATACTACGAAGTGTTCCAGCTTTTGTGTTTAAATTAACTACTTAACGATCTAGACGTATGCTAATGGTTTGCCATTACTGGCAGTTGTTTGTAAGTCGTTAGTTAAATCGTAAAGTTAATAAGTTTGGGTATAGAAGTTGTGTACTTACACTAACTGTATCCCGTAGTTCTGCTCTTGAAATTAAAATAAATCAATTTAGTACATAGACTGTGTATGTAGCAAATCTTATTCAAATCTGTATCAGCCATTTCAGTTTGATTGAACCGCAAACATCAAAATATCTTTACAAATTTTTACGGTTTATCAGTAGTAGTAATAGTATATAAAAGCCAACACATATCTATTTATTTTAAATGAAATAAGCTATTTTTTTGCCAAATTCACTTCCAAATATGTTGAGCAAAATCTATTTTAACTCTTAGCTCTTTTGTCGATTTTTAAAAGTAGGAAGTTTTCGATTTCATTTTAATTGTGCATGTAAATGATTTTAGTAACCTTAAGTCTATTTTGAAATTGTTTGCGCATTATAGTTTATATGTAGGTTTTATATTATTATTATCAGGAAACACATTTTATTTGGATTGAGATGGTTCCTTTATGTAGCAAAATCTCGCTTCTTCCGGGATAAAACCAACTTTGTTGACTTACGAACTCGCGTTCTGAATTCAAATATTCAAAATCTATTTAATAAACATCTCGTCGTTTATCATTGGTATATTTTGTTTTTTAAAGTTATTAGAAATGTTCTTATTAAAAAGAGTGACACAGTCAATATGTTTGTTAGAGTTTACTAGTCAAAGAATTTGCCGGAATCCGTGCTATATATTATATTTTTTATAATATCCTTTTTTTTTATTACCTGACATTATATTTCTCACCAGCATCACGAATTAAATATTTGCCCATATTACTGTGATAATAGTTTCTATTGTACTTAATAGAGTAAAGTCTAAAGCAGATTTTGCTCCACGCTTTTTACATTGCTCTAATAGTATAATAATAAATACAAAGTAAAACAAGCCACATACTTGCATGCGCACAAACCATAATCTGTCTTTATTAGTGCTGCAAACGAAACCTTCCAATCATAGCATTTCTACTAAGACAGCTGTGCAATTACTCTCTGGGCTTAGGGTAACTACCCTATATTTCTGTATTCGAGCTAGTGGCACATAAATAAGCGTTATAGCCCATAAATTAAGGCCCATTACACCGTATCCATGATCGCCTTCCAATTATCTACTAGGTACCACTTTCCTTTAGTTATCTCGTTATTTCTTAGTGATGCTTTTATTTCTTCTCATGTGAATTGTTCTTAAATTATTTTTGTAATGAATACACGCTAATTCATATTAACGAATACATTTTGTTCCACTAAACGTCTACTTTAATCGTAATTTAACTTAACTTTATTAATAACATCATTATTATTAATTTAAAAAATAAAATATAGTACACCATTAGTATTGCCAGTATTCATTTCCTAAAATGCTTTGTAAGATGATTTTAAATACATTTGAATTTAGAACGGCAAATCGTGCTTACTGTGTCAAAAAATTATGAGATTAATAAACGAGAAATGCCTTTCAATCACAAAGAGAATTATCAAAATTGGTTTAGAATTGACGTAAATGTCGCGCAACATATAAATATTCAGGAGAATTGAGAAATTTCTATTTTCGGACGTCGCATAAAAATATCCATTTGAAATATATAATTCGTTTGTGACATTATTTTTATGAATGACTTGTACGGAAGCAGTTGTGTTTGCATGGCTGTGTTTCGGTTTGAAGGGTGGGATATCGCGTGAATTTACAGGTACAGAGAAATAACATTTGAGTCCTCATGAATGGCAACGCATGGGGGTATCATGGGCGAAACAGTATACTATGTTATGTCCATGGTACTGATCATGTCTATAGGCGACGGTTACCACTTTCCATCAGTGGACCGTCACTTATTTGCCATTCTAAGTTGTATAAAAAAAATTAGGTAGCTAGCTAATGCTGTGTAAGGCTGTATATTTACGTAGGTATATAAACTTTAGAATACATTTTGAAACATACGACTAAAATGAAGTACAATTTACTGGATCTAATAATACATTTATTAACCAAGAGAAAATGAATGGAAAATAATGATAATAAAAATCTAAAACCTCACTCAAAGGCGGAAGCAGTCTTACAACAAGATCAACATTGTAAAAATACTCAGTTGAAGTGGTTTTTTTATTGATGGGTAAAAATGGTATGGTAACCCCGCCTGCGCTAACGGGATACGCTGGCGGAGCACCAGTGAAGGGTGCTAGATGAGAATGGAAACAGGCCAGTTAGCCCATCATGATGAATTCATCAGGAATTAACCATGACAGTTTCCAAGGAGAACCGCGAGAAGGTCGACCTGGTTGGGTATATTGCTAGCAATGGATTCTTAGCCTCCATTACTAACAATCCCTTTCCCCCCAAAAGTAGTATATTATGTACATACTTAAATATTTTTTTAATGGATGATGTCGGAATGGTGATCCTGCCTGCGCTGACGATAAACGATGGCGGGGCATCAGTGAGGGATGATAGGTGAGAATGAAAAGACAGGTCGATTATCCCATCGTTATTAATACACCTGGAATTCAGCACGATGGTTTCTAAGGGGTACCACGTGTTTGTCGATATACTAGGGTATATTACTAGCAATAGGACTGGTAGTTCCCATTACTAACAATTTCTTCCCCCCTATTTGTACGTATTCAATCTTTAAAATTTTTTTTTATACAATTTAGAATGGCAAACAGGCTGACGGCTCACCTGATGGAAAGTGGTAATCGTCGCCTATAGACATGAGCAGTACCATGGACATAACAGAGAATACTGTTTCGCCCATGATACCACCCATGCGTTGCCATTCCTGAGGACTCAGGTGTTATTCCTCTATACCCAGTAAATTCACGCCATATCTCACCCTTCAAACTGAAACATAGCCATGTAAACACAACTGCTTCACGGTAGAAACACGAATGGGACAGAGGTACCCACAAATCTGGTAAATACAATACTCATGAGAGTAAGTAGTTCAAACAGTTGGTGCTAACCTAAAATTAGCTCGGTAAATATTAGTTTACCTATGTGTTACTTTATTAAATGTATTAGATAAATAAATAAAAAGATATACCTTTATTGTTTCTCCAAAAGATTACAGTATAAAACTTATCATAGACACAACAATTACAACAAATTATCACAGGGAGAATAAAATGGGCGGCCTAGTCGCTAAAAGTGATTTCTTCCAGGCAACCTTTGAATAGAGAGAAGTAATATCGTCATAGTCGTAGAATACTGACGGATCTTTATATGTAATATTCGTCAGATCCGTCAGTATTCTACGACTATGACGATATAATGGTTTGATCGAAGGCATGATGTTATTGAAATGAAATTCTGTCATAGTACGAAATGAATCTATTTATTTAAAACTTTAGTTACCCTAAATATTTGCTTCAAGTATCCAAACGTCTCAATATTATAGTACTTCTAGTCGTCTTTAAAAAATATTACGTAGATATTTTGCTAACATATTATTAAACAAATGTTGGCTTAATATTGTAACTTTCATCATGCATACAAATTCCTTGTCTCACAACTCAAAGAAAGGTAAATCTGACTTGTGGAACTTGAATCATCCTGTATCCCCAAACTTTGCCCTGCCGACCCGCAGTCCCGCAGTGAAACAATCCTTCAAATAACTGCGACCCGTTAGGTTAGCCATTGCAAGCATACGAGTATATAGTAACTTATTGAAATTGGGTTTCAATTCTCGAAATCCTGTGATTTTGGAGAACAGTATTAAACTATATGACAAAAAAATAAAAACATCTCTAAAAGCCTAACTGCGCTTGCCAACCCACCTGCCAAGCGTGGCAACTACTGGCAAAACTCCTCTTATGGGGAAGACTTATGTTCAGCAGTGGACAGTTACCGGCTGAAATGATTATAAAAATAATAATAAAATCAAAAAAGTACCTACAACTTTACCGGTTGTTGAAGAAATTATAAAAATGTAAATTAGTAAAGAATAATAACTTAGTAAAGTCGAATACGAAAATCTAATAGGCACCACATAACACTCTTTATAAATTTATAGAATTTACGCAACCAATTTGTATGTCAGAACATTTTATCGTTTAATGTCGATAACAATCGGTTTACAAGCTCATTAAACGAGCGATAAGGCACGAAATATCCCAATATCGTTCTTTTTCAGCTCATTTCATTAATTTTCTGCAACATTGACATGATACGGTGAATAGGTTGCCTAATAAAACATCTTTTTTTCTCGAGTCTCAGAGAATTAACTACGTTTTTTATGCTTTACATTGAAATGTTCATTTGATTTTCATCTGTAATTAGGTATATATTTTTACAATTGGGATTTTCGTTTCTTTGCCTGACTAAATACATGATAATTCTTTTTCTATTTCTAAGTTTTTGTCTATATCAAAACTCATTAATGTTCCAGTAATGGGCATAGCTGTCTCCGCTAATAATAAATATACGGGGTTATATTTCACATTTTCTATCTTTGTACAAATATATCGTGATTATAGGAGCAAATGTTCTTCTAATATTCGCCTCTTACAATGTCCAGAGAATCATTCAATATCATAACGTTCGGCTAATAAAAACAAAATTAAATCGCCCGAAGAGTTTCTATAGTTAATAAGCTATATGTAAAGCATAGGCATTTTTCAAATTCTAAATTAATATAGTCCCCTTATGGCTCTATACCTTATACCTTCACGGTCTTAGTCTTCTAAGTTTCTTATAAATTATTACATTTATTTATTAATTTTATATTAATATACATATTATATTAATTTATTTATTTCATCAACTGGGAAGTTTTACAGTCTCCCAATACGTTCACGCAGGAAAGCACCAGTACAATAACATTCTGTGGTCATCTGACGAAACTCCAACAAGTTGGAGGCAAATATTTCCAATTCCTATTTCTAATTTCCTCTGTTTTTCCCTAATATTTTTCAAAACTTTTACATTAGGTGTTCATATGTTTATTACTCAATCATGTTCAAATATCTCAATAAATCTAAATCAGACATGGTACACAATTTTTATATTTTTCAGGATAATGTATGTGTAAAAAGTGACAGAGGATACCTAGTGTACATACATATGTATAAATTATGTACTATACTACTACTTATACTATTTATATCATATTTTTATACATAATAAAACCCATTAAAATACATTTTAACCAATATATAGCTCTAAATAAATAGTTGCTGCTGGCAATTAAATACTACTTAATTTATTTATAGACATACAAAAAGAAAATATATATATTAAGGTTACAGATTTAGTATAATAGATTGCGTGAAATGTTTTTACTAAACCGCTAAGCCGTTACATTGTAGAACTACGTTTTCGATCTAAATCAATACTTATTTCCAGAATTAGAAAATCTAATAGCCAATTTACTTCTTCATTATAATGTCTATTAATATAACATGAAAAGAACGTTCAATACGATATAAAAAAGTTTTCACTTCATCGAATGCTTTGTACAATTATAAAACTACTAGCTGTTTTTAGTGACTGCCTGCGTTCACTAGTACATAAAGCATCCTGTGTATTAAATTAGTACATAATCTATCCTTGTACCAATTTTGTCAATCCTTGTCTTCTTTTTTGTTAAACAAGTATTTAAAATGCATTTTATGTAGATCAAAATCTTAAATTAAGCAATTTTTTTTGATCTGCAAAACATTATTCTATGGATTAATATCTTGTAAACCAGTTATTTTTAGCTTTAGGTGTACTATTTCAATTTATAACAATTTTACCTGATAAATATAGCAACATTGAGTTTTCTATATAAGTTATTTTAAAAATAGCCTCTTTTCATTTTATTATCTAAATGTAAAAGACGGATATTTAAAAAACAAAGTTGAGATTTTTATAATAAAATACAAATTTTTGCGTAGATTTTTTTCTAAATTTTTGTAGACGCGAAATTATTTTTATAACTGTGATATGTTGATTTACTGGATAAAAAACAGTAGTCTGTACCCTACTCTATCCCAAATACATGCAAACTATCGTGATGACTCATTAAACTATTAAGCCACGGACAAAAAAATCATATTTCACATTTGTAATATTAATATCTCATTTACGGGGGGAAAGGGATTGTTTTTTTTTATGGATGATAATGGAATGGTAACCCCACCCGCGCTATCGGTATATACCGGCGGGGCACCAGTGAAGGATGATAGGTGAGGATGAAGTAGGTCAGTTAGCCCATCGTGACGAATTCAATAAGAATTGTTCACGATGGTTTCCAGGGGGAACCACGTGGAGGTCGACCTAATAAGGCATATTGCTAGCAATGGGGCTATCAAACTCCATTGCTAACAATCCCTTTCCCCTCAAGAAAGGGATTGTTAGTAATGGAGACTGAAAATCCCATTGCTAGCAAAATACCCAGCAAGGCCGACCTCCTCGTGGTCTTTGGAAACTATTATGGTTAATTCCTGATTAAGTCATCATGATGGGCTAACTGGCCTGTTTTCATTCTCATCAATTACCCTTCACAGCTTGCTCTATCAGCGTATCTCGTTAGCGCGAGTTACCATTCCATTTTCAAAAAAAATATATTTCATTTACAGGATTTGTTTTTTTAATAAATGTATCTTTTTTTCACAGATTATCACACGTACACCTTCAATGATACGGCGCATACAGAGAGGGAATCAGATGAAATCCTATCAGTCACATACGAGGACGGCAAGTGGTCGAAACCCTACTACGACTGCGGCGGAGGCAATATTTGGATGTTGACATACACCGTCCCTTTCTTCGGCTATAGCAACGGAACCTATTTTTTCAAGTACGTCTATTAATATTCACTTATTATCAACTTATAAAAGAAAGAAAGAAATAATTTATTCATAGAATAATGCGACTCACACAGTAGCATTATTCATTATTTGTAAACTCGTTTGCTTGGGCACCTCTGACACATTCGTGTTTCTACCGTGAAGCAGTTGTGTTTGCATGACTGTATTTCGGTTTAAAGGGTGAGATACGGCAGTGAATTTACAGAGTATAGAGGAATTACACCTGTATCCTCAGGAAAGGCAACGCATGGGGGGTATCATGTGCGAAACAGTATACTCTGTCATGTCCACGGTACTGCTCATGTCCATAGGCGACGGTTACCACTTTCCATCAGGTGGGCCGTCATCTTGTTTGCCAATCTAAGTTGCATAACCACAGGATTTTATACGAATACTTGAAATCTTATTTTACTAAAAATCTTGCTAGCTTACGTTTCATAATGAACAAGGTAATATGGCAGTGATATTATTAACTACTGTGGTTTAAAAGTTCATATTTCAAGACTCTGCAATATGCGAGTAATATTTATAGTATTGTAAGCGTTATATTAGTAAAACTACTCGATAATCTGTCTCGGAATATTCATATCACAGTCAGCAGTTCATTTTAACGAAGCTGTACTTATCCATGAGTTGCACTAAGCACACAATGAGTCAGATCGTAACTTAATTGCCACTTTGAAGAAATTTTAAAATACCTGTATGTAAGATTTAATTAACAATATACGATTTCAATATAATTATTTATTCTTTATTGTACTGTTAAGTACAATATAATTGAGCAATACTCTGTATTTTTTTTAATGGGTGATAATGGTATGGTAACCTCGTCTGCGCTATTGGTATACACTGGCGGAGCACCAGTGAGGGATGACAGATGAAGATGAAAGTAGGTCAGTTAGCCCATCCTGACGAATTAAACTAGAATTAGTCACGATGGTTTGTAGAGGGAACCACGTGGAGGTCGACCTGACAGGGTATATTTTTAGTAATAGGGCTATTTGACCCCATTACTAACAATCCCTTTCCCTCCTAATACTTTGTATTTAACTGTGCATATGTGCAACGACTATATTGTTTTTTTTAATGGGTGATAATGGAATGGTTACCCCGCCTGCGATATCGGGATACGCTGGCGAGGCACCAGTGAGGGATGATAGGTGAGAATGAAAATGCAGGCCAGCTAGCCCAGTGTGACGAATTCCGTTAGAATTAACCACGATAATTTCCAGGGGAAACCGCGTGAAGGTCGACTTGTTAAGGTGTATAGCTAGCAATGGGTCAATTAGATCCCATTACTAACAATCCCTTTCCCCCCGACTATGTTGGATTAGTTTAGTAATTATTGTAAATTAAATAAAAAAATGACAATTAAAAAATGCTTAAATCTATGTTTACTTAAATAAATATCTTTCTTTCTTTCCTTCTTTAAATTGAAATTGAAATTAATTAATTACTTAACGGTCAAATTTGTACCTATTTTATAATAAGTTTTTGTAACAAACAATATATTGGATGTTTAATAATGGAACTGAAAAATAGCTCTACAGATATAGCCTTTTACAACTAATAGCTTGAAAAGTGCTTTTAGTAAGAGCACTGGCCTCGGCATATTGTTGAAGGCGTGGGTTTAAATCCAGCCGCTTCGAGATTTATCAATACGATTTATTGAAATATAAAATTCATATTTTAATAATATTTCTATTATTATTATCATTACATCAGTCGTTAACTGTCCATAGCTGGACAAAGGCTTCTCTCATAAGGGGGTGGGGTAATGCTAATAGTTGCCATGCTTAACAGGCGAGTTGGCAACCGCATTTAGACTTTGGTGATGTTTTAAGAAGGACAATGATGTCTATTTTTAATAATTTTTGACAATTTATGAATTTAATGGCCCCTCGACCATTAAACTATCGAAAATATTTCTATATCAATTAACAATTATGTAGTAAATTGCCAAATATTTAACGACAAAAAAAAAACTATAGTTAATAGCTTGAAATGATTAAACAAAAAGGTTGTTTAAGAAAAAAAAAAACTTTACATCCATTTATATAATACACTGTGTTCAAAATAGAGCCTTACTCCCCTTATAATAAAACACAGGTCGTTTACAATACTGGAGTCCATCAATATTTTATTCCCTCCACCTTAGTTTAACAAAAAGTACCGACTGAACGGAGGCGTGTACTCGGACGCTTGTTCCTGTGAAATAAATGCGATTGAGTGTTTTGTGTGAAACTCTGTGTGTAAATATTTGTATGTGTGTGCATATACGATTTGACAAAGAACTGTCGATCATCTACAGCAGAGAGAAGTCACGTAGCCAATGCCAGGTTAGTTCTCCACGACTGACAGATTTTTTTCCTTTTAAAACGCTTCCACTGCGATGTTTTACCTTACATATTTTTTTAACATAGATTATATATTTTTTTTTTAATACAACTTAGAATGGCAAACATGCTGACGGCCCACCTGATGAATAGAATAGAATAGAATAGAATAAAATTTTATTGCTAACTGTGGATGGAAAGTGGTAACCGTCGCCTATAGACATGAGCGGTACCATGGACATAACAGAGTATACTGTTTCGCCCATGATACCCCCCATGCGTTGCCATTCCTGAGGACTCGGATTTTATTCCTCTGTACCCAGTAAATTCAGGCCATATCCCACCCTTCAAACCAAAACACAGCCATGCAAACACAACTGCTTCACGGTTGAAACACGAATGGGACAGAGGCACCCAAGCAATCGACTCGAAAATGTCAGATAGCATTACCTCTGTTCTATATTTAGTCGTTAGCAAATATGTTTATATTTCTAACCGTTTTCAACTTGCGAACTTGTCAAAAGTTTACCGTGATAAATTACAAAATTCACCCCTAAACGCGACTAGGTCAAAGACGTTTGGAAGACTACTAATATAATTGTATTTTAACTCTCTAGAATCTATACCTTATCGAAGGGATTAATTATTGAGATAAGAAAAATGAATTTTACAATTATATGGGCGCCTCTATCCTACTTAAGTTTTTGCCGTGAAACAATATGATTGTGTTTCGGTTTGAAGGGAATCTGGCAGTAACATTGCACAACACGGAGACGTAACGTACCAGAGGGAGACTTTGTACAAAAGTCGATTGCTTGCGTACCTCTGTCCCATTCGTGTTTCTATCGTGAAGCAGTTGTGTTTACATGGCTGTGTTTCGGTTTGAAGGGTGGGATATGGCGTGAATTTACTGGGTACAGAGGAATAACACCTGAGTCCTCAGGAATGGCAACGCATGGGGGGTATCATGGGCGAAACAGTATACTCTGTTATGTCCATGGTACTGCTCATGTCTATAGGCGACGGTTACCACTTTCCATCTGGTGGGCCGTCAGCTTGTTTGCCATTCTAAGTTGTATAAATAAAAAAAACGTAGCATCATTATCATGTTAGCCATTAAACTATCCACTTCTGAATATAGACGTCCCCCATAAGGAGGAGGGAGTTACCAATTGCTGCCACGCTTGGCAGGTGGATTGGTAACCGCAGCCAAGCTTTAGAGATGTTTAAAAGGGACGCTGCTGCCCATCCCTCGCCGTATCTTAGTCGACTTTTATGACACTTACGGGAAAGGAAGGGGTGGCCTATTCTATTTCGGGACCACATGGCCATATATATATATATACACAATTATATGGGTGTATACACTGTTAATTATAATATTATACTGTGTCAATTTATTTTTCGGCAGTCACGTATTGCTGTTTATATTAATAGCTGTGATTGACACTTGGTGGAACTTTGATCTCTTAACGATAGAATCACAAAAATATTTTTTATTTTCAAACAGTACAAGTGTTTTTCTATTAATATCAATATATTATTACGTAAGTTATTAGTTTCAAATTGAGAGGTTAAAGTACGTATCGACTTTCAAACTGTTTTATCGGTCAATGAACGTTGCCTCAAGGATTTCCTGTCAATCACTAACAAATACTATACATTTACAAATTATATATTTTCTTTTGATGGGTGAAAATGGAATGGTAACCCCACCTGCGCTAACGGGATACGCTGGCGGGGCACCAGTGAAGGATGATAGGTGAGGATGAAGCAGGTCAGTTAGCCCATCGTGACGAATTTCACAAGAATTGTTCACGATGGTTTCCAGGGGAAACCACGTGGAGGTCGACCTAATAGAGCATATTGCTAGCAATAGGACTGTCAAATTCCATTGCCTTTCCCCCCTAAATTATATTTATTGTGAAGTTACCAGACGGAGACTTTGTACAAAAGTCGTTTGCTTGGGTATTTTAAGTTGCATAAAAATGTCGTTAAAGGAGGTCAAGGATATGGCCTGGGATAGAACTAGCTGGAAGATGATGAATTAATTAATTGCACCGACAAGAGGAAACTCTTAAATGAAAGGAGAAAAGAGAGAAAAAAAGCTTACTACCTCAACAGCTTAATCGATCACTATCAAATTCGGTACACACGTACTATAGGTAATGTAGAAGGACTGTATAGATAGATAGATATATAACCTTTATTACCAGTATTAAGAAAATAAAAAATTAAAACAACAAAAAGAAAAAAAATACAATTAATGTTGCTGGTAATAGGAGCCGCCTTAGCTGTTGCTATATATGTACAGCTCCAGCGAGAAGTACCTATATAGCGCTGACTTTCAGGCGGCCCCTTAACTCCTTTACCTTTAGCATACGTGCGGATCGCGAATACCTATTTCCCGGATGGGAGACTCAACACGCTTAACAACAAATACATAAAACATTACAACAAATACACAAAACATTACAACAAATATATAAAACATTACAACCAAAACTGAAAAGAACAAACTCTGAATAAATTATCGCATCTCACAATGACAGCATCATAAAAAATAAAATAAAAAAGAAGTATATTCCTCTTATCTTGGTCAATAAACATATCACGGTTAGGCGGAAGAAGTCGCGGTAGAAAGCTAGTACGCG